CACTAAATCAAGTTTTCTGTAAACTTTTTTTATAAAAACTTAGATTTCACAAATTTTTAAATTTTCTTTTATGTCATTAGCAGCAGTTGCTTATGCTGCAATCAACCTGAAGCACTTTTTTTAAGGAAGAAAACCATTTGCAATTACTTTATTGCAACTCTTTGTTTCGGAATTCTCAATAATAATGATTAAAAATAATTTTGAATCTATTTACTATTAAAAATTTTGTATTAGACTAAGTCAGTTTAATGATTTTTTTAGACCATAAATACTATAGAAAATTGAATTTGTGAAATTTTCTAAATTCTACAAATAATATCAAAATTTAATCTTTAACATTACCCTACCTTTGTTTAAAAATTCATACTGCTGCCTAATAAAACATAGTAGCTGTTATATAGGGTAATAAACATAATATTTGATAAAAACATGTGTATATTGAAGGTATAATGGTATTGTAGCTTTTTTCTTTTTCTTTTATTTTAAGTTTATATACACTCTGGCTTTGTTAACATTTTATATAACCAGGTGACAAGCATTTCATGCTTATACATTTTATTTATTGAAAACCTTATTACAATATTATAAAAATAAACTTAAAATGTAACAGAGCTATAACTAGATCATTTTTTCAAAACTATTCGTAAAAGAAAATATTTTTAATTGTTATTAAACAATATCTTCATAAAACATGTTTCAATAGTTATATAACTAACTTTAGTTAAAATTTTAAAATGCTTGATTAAATAAACTGTAGTCAAAATTAGATATAAATTACAATATAAGTCGCAAGTTTTAGCAAAATATACAATGAAATCTGTTTTTAAAAACTTATATGCGTTGTAATATACTCTATATAACTAATATATATGCTAGCTAACTTTAAAAATAGGAATTACTGAAAGTACATAAAAAATATAAACTACCTTCATCTGCAAAACATTTTTAGATAACGACCTTCTTGAGGCAGTGTCGTCTACACCTCTGCTTGTTTCTGCCATTTCTGCCTTAGGGGAAATGTGGACGGTATTTTACGGCTTAAACGGCAGGCATAGCAACGATGCTCTAATTTTTATAGTTGAGCTAGTTGGGGGCAGTTCGAGAAATTTATGGATTCAAAATTAACTACACAGACCTAAAGTTAAGCAAAAAAACTAAATAAGTGTAAAATAAAACCTCATGTGAGTAAATTATATAAATCATTTTTAATTGAATATAAGAAGAGTTTTAAAAATAGGGACAACTTGTCCCACGTTTCCATCCTTTCGGGGCAAAACAAAACTGCAAATATCATGTAATTAATCTATTGAGACAATTAACATTTTCGGCTAATATTTGAAATCGGCGAAGAATACACGGTTATCATTGATTATGATAATGCCAACCTAGCTGAGCCAAAGACACCGTTTTTATTGAAAGAAAAGTTGCAACTTTTCCTAAGGTATAAACTACTGTCAAAACGCATAAATTACTAATCAGTAATTGAAAATAATTTCTAGGGAGTCCAGCATAAAAAGTTTTTTTTCTTTAAACTGAGAAAACCAATATTGTCTGGGATAATTGATTTAAAAATTTTTGGGGGGCGAGTCCGAGAAAAATAAATCTTTACAGATTTGAGTTGTTTTGAAACAAAATGTAAAAACTTGATAAAAGTAATTGCTAAAAAATTAAAATAATTTTCAACTAAAAAATCTTTATTGTAAAATAAAAATGTTATAAAGGAGAGAATAGTTCTTTGAAGCAAAGTAAAAGTCGTTTTTTGGACTTTATCATCATATAAAATTTCATCTAAATTGTCTTTAGGTGCGGTAAGTATCATTAATTTAATTAACTGTTTTCTTGCAAAGAAAGAACTATTCAAGAATGATTTCCTTGTAATTTAAGTAAATGTTTCCTAAATTTTAATAGTTTTTAATTATTAATATTTGTGAGAATTTTAAACGTATTGTTATCCGATTTAACTTGGGTTAAGCTTTGTAAAAGGTAGAGTTTGATTGAGTGAAATTAGATTTTTCGGGTACCACAATGACTCTGAGAGTTGTGCAGAACTACTTTACGCAGGAAACAAGAAGATAAAAAGTTGCACTTCTCCCTTTGTTTGATTTTAAGTCAAAACTGTTGAGACCTGAAACAAAAGGTGTGATGTGTTATTGTCTAATCTATTATTCAAAGCTTCCAGAAAAACATTCTCTTGAAGAGCAAACCACCTGCAGCGCATGCCATAATTCTTTTTAAAAAATTTGCCCCACCAATGCTCTCAAATAATGTTCAGAGAAAACCTTCAATCCTTAGAAGAAGATGTTGTATCTCGAGTAATTTTCAATAAAGAATTATCTGCGGAAGAAACTAATCTAAAAACTTGCTAAAGCATTTGGTGAGCCTCAACTTACAACTACCTCGGTAAATATTTATATTTAATCAACTTAATTGATGATATTGTGATAATTTACGGAACGGAACTGAGACTATAAAACTGTGTATTGACATAAATCTACAGTTAAATATAGGTTTGTCAAACAATGGATTAAAGAACCTTTTCAGAACTGTAGCAAAATGGTATAACCAAATTATACATACATTTTCTAAGAGCAGGTCAACACTTGAGTATTTTCTTTACCTGCAGTGACTTAAAAATCACCAAAGAAAATGGAAATTCTGGTACATTTGTTGCTCACTGCAATCATGTATTAAGTCTTGTAAACCATGTTATTAAACTCTCGACAAATTTCTGGCAACAATTGTGTTAAGATTTTGTTAAGGAATTGATAGCTGCAAAGGGGTTCTCAAGTTTTGTCTAAACATCGTCGACACTACATTTAGGGATGAATCTAGCTCACCATCACAACAACAACCTCTCAATCAAATGACTGGCAAAAATACTGGAGTCAAAATACATATTTTTGTTACGGTATCAATAGATTTGCCAGAAACTGACCAGATTTAACTCCATTTGCATTAATCAGTGACCAGATTTTTTCAAATATTGAAAAAATCTTGTCACTGATTAATGCAAATGGAGTAACACTAATTTTGGTTTGTGATGTAAATTTAATTTTTAGTCTTCAAACCCATTTAAGTTTGCACCCTAGCTCATGGTGTAACGTCAAATTTAAGTGTCTCGCCAAATCTGGAAACTTTCAAACTTTGGGCTTAATCAAATCTAGCCTTAGGTCTTTTCAGTAATTTGGTGGGGTTGTTGCTAATGCAAAGCTTTCAACAATGTTGTTCGACAGCAATCCTTAAGGGGCTGAACAGTGTTCTGATTTTGAATCTTATTCCACCAACGGAGTTGCATTTCTTTGGAGTTGTTAATCATTTTCTCAAAATACTTAAAACTAATTCAAAAGAAGTTGTTAAGTAACTAGCTGCCCTCCACATTCAAGTGGGCCCATAGTAAAGGGGCCAGTTCAAAGTAAAAGAATGCTTGGAAGCTTCTTAAAAATGAGAATTACAAAATGACTGCGTTAAACTGTTTTTCTTGTTGAATATATCGATTTCCATGGTGCAATGACTGCAACACTACAATTTCCTCCAAAAAATTGTAGTGTTGCAATTAACAATTTTTATAATGATCTTTAGACAATATTTAATGTTTGCTACACTACAACTTTAGTCGACATTAATTTCGCACGATGGCTAATAAATATAAAAGCCATTGCGCTATACTTATGCAGAATGAGTTTTCATCATAGAATTTTGTATATCAGTGCTTATTTATGTAGTTAACATAAATCTTGAAGCATAAAATATATAACAACAATTCTGTATAGGCAGAGAAAACGAAAATCTTTGGTTGAGCAAAAGATTCGCTAACACTCGATGGTCCTCCGAAATACAAATTAGTTGCATATAAAAACTGTTATATTAAAAGATTTTTGATATTGGCTCGAGGATTCTGGGTGGACTTGTAATTAACTGAAGCTTATACTATAACATCGTAACAATCAGATTTATTTTAAGGATCACAGGTTAAACGAATGCAATATCCTCATTAAATAACAGCTTGCACATATGTATATTTTTTTGTTATTTTCATATCTGAGACATGACTGCTCTGTTCAAATAACAGCTTGCACATATATATATATTTTTTGGTTAGGGTTCATATCTGAGACATGACTGCTCTGTTCAAATTTACAGTTTATTAAAAATTTTTAAAGGGTCACATTGTTGTTATATATTTCATATAATGGTAAACCATCCAAATGCGAACCAAATATTTTCGAAAAGTAAACTAAATATGTTCGATAAACCATTAGCATTAATACGTAAGATGACTGGTGGGCCGCCATTTTCCACTTATTACTTATTTTGGAAGTTGAGATATTCAGTAAAACCCATTTTAAAGAAAGCCGTTATGAAATCTAAAATAGTGGCTTAGCAGGTGCCCTACTACTTGCCCAAAACCCTAAAAAAAGTTTATCAAGTTTTTTTTCTTGTTTTAAGTTTGTTCGTTGCAAGAAAAGAAAATATTGTATTATTATTTTTTTCGTTAATTTCATTATTTTAATCGTCAACTGTTAAGTAACAGTCATTATAGTTATAGAAGACTATTGGTTACTTTTTATGTTCTTTGAATATTTTACATAAACAATATCACTTAATTTAACATCATTTTTACTAATCAAATAAACTGATTTAAGAAACTTTTGTAAAATAATGTTTTTTTAGCAAGGTAGTTGAAATAGAGAAAATAGATGTTAGCCTTGTAATTTTTTTTTTAACATTTAAACTTTTTTTTCAAAATAATTTTATTTTATCCTAATTGAAACCAAACATGCGGTTTCTGCTTGTTACGCCAAGTGTTGTCATTACATGAAACCAAACATGCGGTTTCTGCTTGTTATGCCAAGTGTTGCCAGTGAAACCGCAAACTAACGACAAATTTAAAAAACTATGTAACCGTGTAACTAACATTTAAAACAAAATTAACTATAAACCATTAAAACTGGAAAACTATTTTATTGAATTTTAAAATTCAAAAAAACTGAATAACGCTATATGATTGAATATGTTTTATATTGTTAATAAAGCTATTTGTTTTTTTTCTCATTATCTGTCTCATTTTCTGATATATCCTTTTTCGCACTATCATCAAACACCATTCCAAACTCGTTGGTTCGACTTTTATCAACAGGATAAAGCCTAAAATAAAAAATAAAAATTGGTAAATAATCTTAAACTTTTATTATTTTATTTAAGCGTATTTTAAAGCCTTTTCTGGGATTTATTTACTGTATATTTACTGAATTCCAAATACTAAAATTTTAGATTTTAAACTTTTTTATTATTGTTAATTAGTTATAGAACAATTACATTTAAAAATGTAATATAATTGTTTTCAAATAGTTAATAAAAGTGATTGTTACAGAATTTTTGCCACTTAATAAAGGTGTTTAAGAAAACCGGTAACATTCCGGTTTCCTTGACGTCCAAGTAGCATGTTACAATAAAAATTGAACTTCATTTTTTTACATTACATTAGTGTTATTTTAGCCATGATGGCTCAGTTACTTATGACCTCTAACTTTATCATCGCATTTTTAATCTACTTTTTTATAACGATAATTAGGCACCATAAATTTTTTCGCAACAAAAATTATTTTACATCAAAGCGAAAAATATTTATACAGATGAAATGAAATAGTAAAAAAATCTATTAACACTGACAAAGTTATCTTTGCTGTGATACTGTTATCTCTACTATATTTTAATGTTATCTCTGCTATATAAGTTAATGATAACATAGCGAATAAAGTTAGACATCGAATATTCTCTCAGGAAAATCCTCAATAATTGATGGGTCCATTCAAATAACTCGGAAATGACTCAGGTACATATAAGATACAAAAGAGTACATTTATCTTAATTCAATAAGACTAGTTAAATCATTATGAATAAATTTCTATACCAACGTCATATTGGAATTGAAACTGATTTTAAAATGAGATTACTCTTAGATAAGAAAAAATAAAGAATGAAATAGAAAGAAAAAAAAAATGAAAAAATTAAATGTGCAGACAAACTTATACGCAAAAACGTTTTAAATTTTTGAGTTCAATGGGAGAATATGGTATTGTATCTACATTGTAATGCAAGAATATAAACTTGAAAACAAAATTAAAACATTTTGAAAAAAAATGGTGCAAAATTAAATGATTGGTTTAATGGTGTGACATATAATACAACTTGAAGCTAAATATTCAATATGTCTAGTCAATCTAATAATGGAATTAGTGCAATTACATAATTAATTATAATTAATTAATTGGTTTCTTAATTAAGTTTTTTGGCTCCTTCTTTGCATTTTGAAAAGTTTATTCAAACAGTTTTCATCTAAAATTGAAACTCCTCACCAAAACATTGTTCAAACATTACAATTGATTTCAAAATTTATGGGTGCACTAAAAATATGTTTCTTAAGAATAGTAAGCACTATTCATGTATTGTGTTCGTGTACACTACATGAGCAGTGTTTTCTAATATTTAAATCATCTGTTAAGCATTGTTATGTTAAGCATTGCATTCAAGTTATTAGTTAGTGTAAAAAAAAATTGTTTATGTAAGTTTATAAAATGTAAGCATATTATTTTGTGTAGGTCTGCATAAATATCCCTCTAAAATGTAATATGGTAAATAACTTTTTTTATTTTTTCAAATCTATATTATAAAATACAGGACGACAAAAACCATTAACAAAAGCTTTTTACGTTTTTTGAATGGTACAAGCTAATATGTAAAAAGTAAAAAACTTAAATCAAAATTGTCTCAACTGACAAAAATGTTATTTTGCAATATTTGCAAATATGTTTAAAACGTATTTTAAATTTGTTACGGTCTTGAATGTTCTTATTTCCTTCATAAAAACATATTTAAATATATGAGTATGGTTTATATTTTAAAAATTTCATACAATTTTTAAAATTAAATGAAATAGTTTAGAAAGAATATACTGAATCGTTGAGATGAGAATACCAAAATATTTTTGATATAATCTAATAAACTGCCCTAAAGGTATAATTTGCTATCTTAAAAGGGTAGGATATGCAATATACCCTAAGGTAGAAATATTTAGTTTGTACTTTTTTAGTGTGCAACAAATATTACTTTTTAAACCAAAATTAGGTATTTGAAAAAAGTTATACTTCATTATTATATATTTTTCAAAACAAAATTACACTGATTGATATTTTATTAGAAAATCAAATATTCTAAAAGACACAAAAGACCCATACAAAGATGGCTACTAACAGCGTGTTCATAAACAAAATTAAAATTATACCACCACAAAAACAATTATAAAATTATAAACAAAAAAATAGTTGATCCTTTTAGTATAAATATTTGTTGAAGTAAAAAAAATTCATTTTATTTTTAAGCGTTAAAAATTTTTTGCATACACAGATTCCGAGGTTATATTGTTGCACATGTCAGCAACTTGGTAAGAAAAAATTGGTAAGAATTTCTTGACATTAAACGTTTTTTATAAACCAGTTTTTGAAAATTTTGAAAATAAGTTACTAAGTCATTTTTTTGGTGTCGAACTTTAAGTAATTCCAAACCAAGCAACTCTAGTTGATTATGACAAATTTCTATGGTTCCTAATTTTTCTTTGTGAACTATTTTTGGACACTTTTAACTGTTTTAATCTATAATAACAATAAGTTATTATATATTCACATGTTTATATATATTTGGTGTGTTGACCAAACTGGAAAATATTCTAAAATAATTTTTATATAGATAATGGAAGCCCTAACTATGATACAAGGGTTGTGAGTTTTGAAGCTTTTCAAAATTAAGTATGCTCTGTAGTTGGCTTGATAGACGATATTAGTTTTTTATAGTTAAAATTACAGTCCTAATTGTTACTCTTAGATCTTTTGGGCTAGGAAACTAAATCGAAGTTTAATACAAGTATAATAGGAAACAAAGCTGAAATATGAACCTAACTTAAAGTTATCTTTTATACCTTTGCGTAATGAGGGAGATTGTGAAGTGCAAAACACAAACTACTAGCAATTGTTAGTTGTCATATTTCTGCCAAAGTAGAAGCCTACTTAGAGCAACAACTAAATCTTGGCTTAAAACCATATCATGGTACAAACTATATAACTTTCATCCGCATAAGGTTTTAAAGAACAGATTATTAGTTATGGCTGCTAAATCCTTAACATTTAATAGAATGTGGGACCTAACACCCTGTGGAACTCCACTAACAATGTGACACCCTGTGGAACTCCACTAACAATGTGACACCCTGTAGAACTCCACTAACAATGTGTATTGGGTTTGATAGAGAACTACTGACCTTGACATGTTGATATCTATTGGTGAGAAATATAGAAATCCATTTCCGAAGATTACCATTTATATTATACCATGCAAGTTTAATTAATAGATTGGGAAGTGAAACAGAGTCAAACACTTTTTGGAAATCAATATATAAAACATGTTAATATTATAATAATTAATAAAACTGTAAATATTATAATAATTTTTTGGTATCTTTGTAATTTTTTTATCCTAATCTAGTTTTTTTAATTTGCTTTTACAAGTATTTTATGAATTATTATTAATAATGATTATAATTTATTATAATTTATTATGATTAATTATGATTAATTATGATTATTTTTAATAATGATTATGAACAAATAATAAACAGACTTTATCAGCTACCAAGCAGATATTCGTAAGCATAATTTATATTCATAAAATATCAAAAGATCTTTTTGTGAATATTGAATTATCAAAATTGAATTAATCAGAAAAAAAAAGTTTAATTCCATTTATGAAAAGAATTTTCTTAAACAAATGCTCAATAAACCAATAACTAATGTTATTAGATTTTATTAAAAATTTATACTGGTTAGAGTAAAAAAACAATTTCATTCATTTCTTAAAAATATTTGGTTTCTAAGCTAGGTAATGCTTTTTGGCCCCCAAACCAAAAAATGATGGCAAAATACTTGAAATTTTTAGGTCAGCATTTGGCAATGCTGACCTAAAAATTTATAAATCATCAGCGCTCGGAATTAGTAAAATCACCCTACAGAATTAGGAAAAATATGGTTGGCTAAAAGCTGCCAACCTTACTTTTCCTAATTCTGAGGGCTAAAATGTCAAACCACTGTAGAAAATATGTAACATATGTTTCATATGTATATCAATACTAAAATTATGCTACATATGTTTAATTACAGCTGAAAGTTAAAAAAATTATTAAATTTAACTACTGTTAAAAAGATTTTTATTCAATTCTGAAAATTATGCCATATATAACGCTGCTGAGAATATGTTACAATAACTTAATCTTGTGTACTAGCACCTTGTATTTTTTTTTATAACATTAAAAAAAATTATACCATTTTTGATAAAGATAAACAAGAAAAACTGCATCATCACGAAAGCAAGCCAATCGATGAGCTGTAGGCATAACAATGATGAAAGCAAATATATCATCAATAAAGGTATTGAAAGCCTAACAATATATGAAATTGATTGAAAACAATATATATATATATATATATATATATATATATATATATATATATATATATATATATATATATATATATATATATATACATATATATATACATATATATATATATATATATATATATATATATATATATATATATATATATATATATATATATATATATATATATATATATATATATATATATATATATATATATATATATATATATAAGCATTAGTGAACATTATAACAAAAGTCATAAAACTGTGTTATATCAAAATCAGCACAACAAAGAAAAAAAAAAAATATATATATATATATATATATTTATATATATATATTCAATAAAACAAACTAAAATGCCATTATTCTGGTCATTATAAGCAATTTAATGCAACCCCTTAAAGGATATTGTCAAACTAACATGTAAATAATTATGAATAACATTTGGGTTGAGAAAGTAGAACATAAAACAATTTAAAAGTTTGTATGCCTATTTTTTATTCACAACATTTTACTGTATGTTTTTTGTATTTCTTTGATAAAACTATATTGGTATTGTCATGTTAGCTGTAGAGAAATTTTTCCTGTTGTGCAAAATAAAAATTGAGTCTTAACCAAATATGGTTATTCTTTAATGTTTAAAAAAAAAGAAAAAAAAAAACTAAAAATTATACTGTCTATTTCTTTAAAATGCACTGTATAAATATATACCATTTTAGGTTCAACGTCAAACATTGCAAAAACTTTTGCATGAATAAATGACTTTATAAAAATATACCAACCTTATACATAAAGGCTCTCCAAGGAAGATGAGCAACAGATTTTAGCTAAACATAAATACAAAAAATTGATTCAAAATCAAGAAGTGTAAAAATATTTCATTTTATAACATATAAAAAAAAAAAGTTTTTAAATAATATAATATTTTCTAACCTTGTAATTAAGGAACAACTGAGGTAACATAAACAAGAAGCCAAATGCATACACACCTAAAATTATATATATATATATATATATATATATATATATATATATATATATATATATATATATATATATATATATATATATATATATATATATATATATATTCTCACTCTTTTCAACTTTCAAATATATATTCTTTACTATTAACCAAGCTTTTTATCAGCCAAAAAGAAAAAATATCCTTACCATTAACCAAGCTTCTTACCAGCCAAGAGTACCAGCTGAAATATTAAAAAAAAAAATTAACAATTTTTAAAGAAAAATTTTTAGATTAGAAAATATTTATAAATCACTAAACAATATATCACAACAAACACTCTCAATAGTATAGATAAAAAAACATGTTAGTCCAAAATACTTAAAAAAACTTAACTAAAATTAGTGTGATATACAAATTAATATAAACTAAAAACCCATTATATGCCGGATGTTTTAATGAATGTATACTAAACACCTTTTATGTGGTTGATATATCAAAGAATATATTGCTCCAGCTATTAGTAGTGGGTAAAGAGCATATGATAAGTATCTCATCGCCTAAAAAAGAAAATTTCAATTTTTTGATTTAGAAGTGTAACAAGTAAAATTAAAAACAAATTTTTAAAACCCAACTTAAAAAATTTTTTAAATATGTTATTAAAACACAAATTTTGCAATCAATTTTTTCTGATATTACTATTTTATTTTATTTACATTTGACTGTATGTGTGTAAAAACAAAAAAAATTCAGCACAAGTCTTGAACCTCATTTTGTTTACGAAGGCAACACCTTATCCAAATAAGCTAAATGTGCATATAAATAGGTACAAACAATATACTTATTTTAAAAATTATTATTCTTCTTCCCATATAAAAAATAAACTTAATAAAAATTATCTGAATTAATTGATTTATTACTAAACTAATTATTGAATATTGTATTGTCATCAAGCAAGAGTATGTATGCAAAATTTGAAGAAAATCTATCATCAGAAAGTGAATCAAAAATTGATTGCAAGATTTGATGTTAACAGAGACAGAGATGTTAACAGAGACGAGGAGTTAATAAAAGCATTGGAAAAAAATTAAACCTGTTCATCTATTTCGTTTGTTTCTAATTCAGACTTAGATTTTGTTCCAAACTAAATATTTAAAAAGATGAGAAAAAATTATACAAGAATTAATTTAAAAAATCTAAATATACTTTTAAAAGATTTAAAGTGAAAAAATGTGAAAAAATTAAAATAATATACCAGGACATTTTGGAATAAAAAATATACCTGAACATTTGGAAATGTAGTCTTCCATTCTATTTTTATTTTTAATGCTTTGGTAACTTTCCAAAACTATTTATACAAAAAAAAAATTACTAAAATTTATTTATGATAAAAAAAAAAGACTTGTTAAATCTTGTTAAACCAAAAATTACTTCTATAACAGTTCCAACACCAGCAGGAACCAGCACCAAAAGGCTTGTTTTTTCATCAAGTAAATACAAAAATATAATGGTTGTTGAAACACATCTCCAAACAACTAAAAATTAAAAATAAAACTATGACACTTGATTTAGTACTTATTGTAAATTAGCACCATAAATTAGGATGAACAGAGACATCAGGGTAAAAAAAACATTTAAACGAATAGTAACAGTGAGTTGAATAGGGACATTTGGGTGAACAGAGACATTGGGGAGAATAGAGACGTTGGGGTAAATAGAAACATTGGAGTGAATAAAAACATTAGGGTGAGTAGGGATATTGGGGTGGATAGGGACATTGGGATGAATAGGGACATTTACAAAAAAGTTTTAAAACCTTTAAAAACTATTTAGTCTGTTCAATCAGACTATTGTCTGATCGAACAGACTATTGTCTGATCGAACAGACTATTGTCTGATCAAACAGACTATTGTCTGATCAAACAGACTATTGTCTGATCAAACAGACTGTTGTCTGATCAAAAAGACTGTTGTCTAATTGAACAGACTGTTGTCTGATCGAATAAATAAAAAAATATAAAAAATAATATTAATAAGATAAAATGTTAACTTATTCAGGTCTGACGGATGGTTAATGGTTTAGAAAAATCGAGATAAGAACTCAAATCGAAATGGTCAAACTTGGAGGTGGATCTTTGATGGGGTTTTTAAGAAGAAAGGAGTTAAAAAGCTATGCTTTTCGAATTATATGATGAATTGTTTTTATTATCACTAAATACTGGAACAAAATTCATTCCCATTAAATTGTACTTCACATTTATGCATAACAACATCAAAAAGCAATATAATTATAGTGGTTTTCATTATTAGAATTGTTACATTTTAACTATACAAACTATAAAAAATAAATTATCATATCATATAAATAGCATATTTATTGCTGAAATATAAATCTATAAAAAAAATTTATTTAAAAAAATTTACTTTATAAACTAAGAAGATTTATCTATACTTTATATTTATAAATACTCTATGTATACTTATAAATATAGAGTATATACTTATATATACTCTATATTTATAAATATAGAGTATATACTTATATATACTCTATATTTATAAATATAGAGTACATACTTATATATACTCTATATTTATCTATAATTGTAAAATTCTTGCAAACAAAAAGATCAACTCGAGAAGGGAACTTTTTTTAATAAGTTAATTTTTTATATTAGATAAAACAACTGAAGCAGATGTACATGAAAGCCTTTTCATGACATCTTCATTTAGCTCCAATTTTGAATTTTTATGGGAATATTGCCTACATATATATAATTCTTATTTCTAGCTTCTTGATCTTCGTCACTATTACCTATTAACAAAAGTACTTACAAGCCATGAATTAAGACCTTGTGAAGACTGTGTTATTTAATAAGAGCTTTCTCTGAACCTTCACTTGCTTGCCATTTTTTGATTATTTTATATGAAATATAAAATACACCCAAAAAATCTTACTCAAGCCCATTTAATATAATATAATATATAATTCAAATGCTGTTGAGGTAAAGACCAGGCAATATCTATGACAGCCAACACAATAGTTGTTTAAAAATTTAACTGTAACTCGTTATTCTTGTTCAATATTATCTGCAAGTCAATCAGTTTAACTCTGAATTTAAACTCTTTGACTGATGTAGACTCCACTACCAATTCTGGCAAATTATTCCATCCAAAGACAACTCAGTTTGTAAAGAAGTGTTGTCTACTTGAACAATTTTCAGCAAACTTTGATTTAACACAATGTTTTTAACCTCTAATATTGGATGCTGGACCTGGTGTATTGATTGAATGCATTTGTATCTGGATTTTCTTCATATCAATAGATTCAAAACCTTTATAATTTATATTTTTGTATAAGGTCACCTCTTAGTCTTCAAACTTCTAAAGTTGTTAAATCTAATATTTTTGGTTTTTGATTTTATCCCATATGTCTAATTCTGTTATCAACTTTTTCAAGTTATTTGATATCGTTTTTATAATAGGGATTCCAAACTTGAATGGCAAACTCCAAATGAGGTCTAACGTGCAATAAAACATTTTCATGAAAACAGACTATTGTCTGATCGAACAATTAAATATTAATTTGTTCGGGTCTGATGGATGATTAATGGTTTATAAAAAATGAATATTAAGCGCATATTTATTGCTGAAACATTATAAATCTATAAAAAACATATTTGCTTTACTGGCAGCATTCCTTACTTGTCTTTCCCATTTTAAATCCTTAGATATATAAATACAAAATACTTTTCGAGAGCAGATTTTTCAATTTCTTTTAGTTCACCATCATTTTTCATGAAATAAGAATAACTTTTATTATTTCCACCAAAACCCATTATTTTACATTTCTCAAAATTCAAACCCAGTTTCCATTCAACAGACCATTCATCAAGTTTTTTTATACCATTTTGAATTGATTTTGAATCAATCTTGTTTTAAATAGAAATAGCGATTATTTTATTGTCATCGGCATACAAACAACATTTATAATAATAATAATAGGAAAGTTTTGTAACTTTGTCGATGTTGTTCATATCTTTTAATGAACATTCATATACATCACAATTTTTATTGAAACTTTTTACAGATAAGAATGTATGACTTTGACTATTTATCATAAGTTGAATACCTAACTTAAATTCAATGGATTTTTCATTAGATAATTTAACACAAAATTAAAGATCTCATCTATCAATGGTTTTTTGATGAGTGATAAAATATTTTTTTTTTTTTTTGAATTCTAAAGGTTAACATTGTAATGTAAAAAAGGCTTTGGGCAGGGCTGTATTAAAGCGCGAGCTGATGGGGCTGCAGTCCCAGGCCCTTAGAAAAAAATAAGCCCTATGAATTAAATCGTTTTTATATTTTTTTCAGGGAGCTAGATTTTTTTTTCGTAGGTTTTTGGAAGATGTTGCAAATAAATAGAGATATAGTATTCTATTTAAATTTTATTTTAAAAATAGCCACTTCTATTACTGCAGAAAATTTGAACATTGATCATTTGCATATTTTGAGTTGTATTTAATTGCAACAGGAGTTACACAAGAATTGAAAATATAGACATTAATATTGCATTCAGCATAAAAAAATGCAAACGGCATATGCAAAACTCTTAAAGGAAACCATAACAATCAATGCAATGTCATGTATGAAAAACTTGATCAATTTTTTTAAACCAAGAAAGAATATCACGCATGAACCTTACATTTCTATGAGCACAAAACAAAATAAAGAAAAAAATACTGTAAGTTTTGTTACTCAATCACAAAAAAGCTGAATATTGCGCTTTAGCAGTTGCAGAAGCATAAATAAATGAGGTAACCGCCATTTTAGGCCATCCTATATTTACAGCCACAGGCCTAAAAATGTTTTAATTTGCCCTGGTTTTGGGTTTCTCCAAATAACGGTTAGAATTTTTTTTATTTATATATGCTTTAGCCAATAGAGTCATCAAAGCCTGCTTTATAATGAAGAGGTACCCTCTTCCCAGGTCGCCCTGGTTGGTATGTTTATAATAAAGAGGTGCCCTCTATCCAATTCACCCTGGTAGGTATGTTTACAGCATAGTCAGTAAAAAAAATATTGTAAGAGAAGCACAAAAGCTTTATTAATTTTATATGCCAAGTACGGGTTCCACTATTTCTAATTGCAGTAAGATTGAATTGCAACTTTGATCAGATTTGATTCTAACATCAACAATAATGATATCCAGAAAAGACTATATTTTTATCTAAACTTATTATGTTGATTGCTTTTTGTTTTGCTTTTTTTTTATTCAGTGAAACCTTTAAAAATAATAAATGATTTAAGGAGTAGTCATCTAAAATTGTTTGTACCAAATATTCTAAATCTTTAGATATAACATAATTTATATATTTAGATGTAACATAATTTATATCTTTAGATATAACATAATTTATATCTTTAGATATAACATAATTTATATCTTTAGATGTAACATAATTTATATCTTTAGATGTAACATAATTTAAGATAAACTTAAATCTTCATAAGCGTTGATCTTCCTTTAATCAAAAAAAAACTCAAAAAAAGTTACTTTAGAATTGTACAGTTTTGCAACAAACAAACAAAAAAAGCTACTTTAGAATTGTACAGTTTTGCAACAAACAAACAAAAAAAGCTACTTTAGAATTGTACAGTTTTGCAACAAACAAACAAAAAAAGTTACTTTAGAATTGTACAGTTTTGCAACAAACAAACAAAAAAAGCTACTTTAGAATTGTACAGTTTTGCAACAAACAAACAAAAAAAAAATTATGAAATATTTGTGTTAAAAAAACTTATTAAAAATAGTAGGAAAAACTTGTTACAACTTTATTTATGGCAAAGCAAATAACTTCAAATTTTAAAATTTTTATATTTTATTTTTATATCATTTTTATATACATTAAATAGAAAATTTTTATACCTAAAAGTAAAGAATTGATATTATTATTAGAATTATTAGTAGCAAAAAATAAATTTTCTGCTACTTGTTCACGAAAACTACATTCACTCTAAAGAGTATGAACAATATAACAACAATATTAATACCGTATAACTTCAATGATACAATTAAAATAGTAAAATTTAATATAAAACAACAGTAGCATAAGAATGTTAATAATTAAAAAATTAAAAAAAACACATCAAGCTCAAGTAAATAGATAAATACGATCAATTAACATTTTAACTAATATTAAATATTCTAAAAACTATTAACAAACATGATTTCATCATTATAACTAATTTCTTTTTTGCCAATAATTAAATTAGGGTAAGAATTTCTAAAATAGCAATAAAATCGTTTTATGTTGTTTATCATTATTTTTTTTTAATATAGAGAAAATTATTTACCAGATCTTATCGACATTCCTTCCATTGATGATTTGTTTCTCCAAAAGCTTACATCATTTTTGAACGCCAGCACATCAAACAATGTCTGGAAATAATGAAATTATAAACTGATTTTATAAAAAGATTTTAAAAATTAAAAACTTTTTATAAAATTTAAAGATTTTTAAAAAAACTTCAATAATAATAACAAAAAATATTAATATTAATAATTTCGTATTTATGTGTAATCATAATTTTATAAAACAAAATACTAATAATAAAAAGCTTAAATATGTTATATTTTAACAAAATGTATAAAATCTAGTATTTTGAATAGACAAACTTCTATTCATCTTCATACGTAACGATAGTTAAAATATGTTCTTCATACGTGAAACAGCGCAACAGTAAAGGTCATTGCTAAAAAGTACAAGTTGGTATCTGTGAATATTCCTTTAATGTCATCTAAATCGTTTTCTGTGAAGCCTAAAACAGGAGTTAGAAGTTTGGCAAAAAGATAAGTAAAAACATTTTTAAATTCAACATCACAAGAATGAAATTAACCATAATCCTTCATTTTCCCTAAAGTCTGTTCAACAGATGACCATATCCTTAGTCTTCCTAGTGAGACTGGTTTAAAAGAAAGTTGCATGGGAAGTTTTCTGGTATCTTTTTCAATAGGCTGCATAAAACAAAAAAAATTCAAAATTTAGTGAATAGTAGCTTAATTTACAAAATATAAATCAATAATATACAATTATTTGAAAAATTAAAATGATTTAAATAATGAATAGCAATATATATATATATATATATATATATATATATATATATATATATATATATATATATATATATATATATATATATATATATATATATATACACACAAATAGTTTAAATTTATTTAAACAAAAACTTACAAGTAAATTTCTGCTCATAGTAGTTAGTTTATCTATATATAAAATTGGCATGTATACGCCATCGTTGTTTACTTTAATTAACTGGTGGATATCCCCTGGGATAGAATAACGTCCTAAGGGTTCATCATAGATTGCCAAATAAATAGATAATTTTGAGTGCATGTGTACAATTGGTATATCACTTGTCTAAATATATAAATAAATAAAATATATAAATGTAAGTATAATGTGTGTGTGTATGTGTGTGTAAAATGCTAAAAATTAAAAAAAAAAATTACATTTTCTTTGCTACCCCCTATCAAATTGAAACTCTTATGTTTAGGAATAGCATATTGTGTTAATTCATGCATCTGAAAAGTGGATTTTTTGTAAAGCATAGAAAATGGAGAGACATCCATAGGATGAACAAAAACATAACCAAACATTGATCCATTACGCCTTGTTGAAGCAGGCAATGTAATATTTATAGACCTAAAATAATTTAAAATAAGTTGTCAACAAATAATTTTGCAATAAATGTTCAAAAATGATCATTAACAAGAAAATAAAATACTTAAAATTATTTAGTTATCAAAAAGAAATTTTATAATTTCTAAAATCAAATGTTGAAATTTTTTCACTTTAGGGTTTTGCACAACAAGCAAGTTATTAAATAATAGCTTGCTACACACTCACACACATCAAGAATAGTAGGTCATGTTTGGTCTTAAATGAAGTTGTTGGAATATGCAAGCTATATAGCTATAAGTCAAAAGCATCTAAAATATCTGGTAGAGTAGCAGTGTCATCAAATTTCAGAAAGCATTTAAAGATCAGTTACACATGTTAATATTATTATTTTCATTAACTAAAACCATCAAAATTAAAAAAATTTGTGAATTTTTTGTGTACATAATTTTATTTAATGATATTAATTTAATAATTTTTTTAATATTTGCAGTTTAACTAGAATATTGTGAGACTTGAATTAATGTGTATTAATTATTGTGTATTAATTATTGTGTCCATCTGCAACTGTGCATCTAGAGTTACGTTGACAGAAAGCATAAAGTCCGATTATGACATGATGTGTCTCACAATTAAGGAACATCTCTGCAGTATTGATTATGTCTGTACCACTGCTGATATCTGGAGCAGTCATAACTGAAGTTTTCTAGGAATGACATGCCTCTGGATAAATCCAGCCACTTTGGAGCAAAAATTTGTTGCTTTGGGTTGCTTTCGATTTAAAGGAAAATATTTGTTTAATGTAATTGCATCAACAATACATCAATTGCATGCACGTAATGCTGTTGAATTGTGAAAACTTGCACAGATAATTTATCAAGTATGATAAAAGCATTCCGTATCTTTTAGAGTGTCGATGTTGGTGAGAAAAAAGAGGATCCAGAATCCAGGGAATCAGTTTTGAATTTGAACGGAGATTCGAAACCAGAGAATGACAACGAGGACACAGGAGATTACCGTGAGGCAACTGCATGCTTTGACTGCATGCTTTGAATTCGTACTGTCACATTCTTAAAGCCGAACAAAAACTGAACATTGTCTGCTCTGCATTAGAACTTCCAGTATTTTTGCAGAATGATTTGACTTTTCTGAGAAATATGTTATGTTGTTTGAACCTGTGGCAACTGCTATTATAATTTTACAAAGTGAAGCCAATTGCTACTTGGCATATGTACTTCCAACAATACAGTCAGTTCAAACAAAGCTCCAAAACGCAGAGATCAGATATTGCGAATCACTTTGATGGTTACTTTGATGATCAAGAATTTCTGGATCATCAAAGGAATTGAGAATCGCTTTGATGGTTACTTTGATGATCCTGAAGTTCTCCTGGTTACAGTTTCACATTTAAAATACTTTTTTTTTTTTTTTTTTTAATTATCTTTGCTTCCAAAAAGACTGCAAGCAACCACTAATTAGTGTTGGAAGTTACTGGAAGTGAAAAGATGAAGATTGTAGAGCAAGATAATGATTGACAGACGACTTAAAAGATTGCAAATTATATGAATCAGGAAAGCAAGATGAAGGAAGCGAATTCCAAAGAACTGATGTTCGATAAAAAAACTAGACAAATAAGAGTTTTTGGAGCACTTAGGAACAGCAACAGAAAAAGGATGAGACTTAACTGAATGAAAAGTAAAACGAGAATGAATTTTAGTAGATGGCACAAGAGACGCTAGCTCTTTCAAGCAGTGTCCATTATAGTATTTGTAGAAAAGAGAAAGAGAAGCAACATAACGACGATGTGACAGAGCTTGAAGCTTGGCTGCAAGAGCAGGTCTAATTATATTTACAATGCGTTTTTGCACCTTGTCTAAAAGAGAAAGGGCATCATTAGAAGATCTGCCCCAGATATGGCAACAGTATTCCATACAAGGCCGGATTTTAGATTTATAGAGATAGAGAATAGAATCCAGAGTAAGAAAGTGACGAGCTCGATAAAGAGATGCAACTTTTACAGATGCTAATTTTGCAACGGATTTGATATAAGGTTTCCAAGAAAGATCAGAAGTGAGAGTTAATCCTAGAAGATGAAGGGTAGGAGACTCATCGAGTATATTGCCGTTCATAAATATAGGAAGGTCTAAACTATTGCGATAACGATTGGCCGAAAAAAATTGAGTTTTATCTGAATTAAAGTTCACCAGCCACTGTGAGCCCAATGCTGTAGCAGAAGTGAGATCCTTTTCAAGCTCAGATGCCCCTGCAAGCAATCAGAGGGAGTTGGCTTCTTATCGTGACAAGAATAAAAGGTAGTATCATCAGCGAACAATGCCACCTTAGATGTGAGAATATCTGGAAGATCGTAAATGTAAATTAAAAAGAGTATAGGGCCAAAGATTGAACCCTGAGGAACCCCTGAGGTTACAGAATAAGAAGAATGCTGTCCATCAAGGACAACTTTTATACTACGATTGGAAAGGAAGGATTCAATAATTTTAAAGATGTTTCCAGATACACCGTAAGAAGAAAGCTTATGGAGAAGACCAGCATGCCAAACTTTATCAAATGCTTTAGAAATGTCACGAGCGATAGCCTTAACCTCTCCACCTTTATCTAATGCGCGATAAAACCTATCGGTTATTACAGATAGCAAATCAGCCGTAGAACGAGAAGATCGAAATCCATATTGATGATCAGAAAGTAGGTTATGAAATTCAAGATGAGAGATTAAGTGTTTGTTAATTAAAGATTCAAAAACCTTGCTTATGATAGGAAAAAGACTAATGAGACGGTAGTAGACGGTAGACGAATCAGATCGCTCTCCAGAATTTTTAAAAATAGGGATAACAGATGCTGCTTTTCAGAAGGCTGGAAAACAAGACTCTGATAAGCACTTGTTAAATAGTTTTAAAAGGATAGACAACAGCTCCGGAGAACACTTCTGCAAGACTATAACAGGTATGTTGTCTGAGCCGCAAGCTGTAGAAGAGTCTAAGCGGGAAATCACTTTAGATACAGAAGCTGGTGTGATACAAATGTCGAGCAATGGATCAACGTGTTTGACGGCTATATCAGGTAAAATGCAACTAGTGGAATCAAGAGATAATATTGATGAAAAGTTCTTGGCAAACAATTCAGCTTTGTCTTTAGGTGAGGTGACGAAGTCTGAACCATACAAAAGAGGTGGAATTACAGACTTGCCCTTATTATTGATACTATTAAAAATTCTCCAGAAGTCACGAGAGCCTAATTTTTGTGATGAAATACGAGATTTCATGATCTGAGAATAGCGAGCTTTGGCATTAGACAAAACCTTTTTGCAATGGTTCCTAGCAGTAATAAACAGACGTCTGTTTTCTGGAGATTTGTTTTGCTGATAGTTATAGAAGTAATGGTTTCGATTGGCAATTGCAGCAGCACAATGTGAGGAAAACCATGGAGAAGAGTGAGGCTTGACCTGGAATCGTTGAGAGGTAATAAAGAATTCCATGCCAGCCTGAATCCACGAAGTTATGTAAGAAGCATATTTGTCAACAGAGAGACAAAAGATTTCTACCCAGGGGCCATCACGAAGAAAGTCACGGAAAGAGTCCCAGTCAGCTTTAAGGTAGTTGTAAGATGTACGATGATAGGGGGATTCTGATGGTAAAGAAGAATGATATAATAGTTTTAGAGAGACCAAACCATGATCAGAAGCATCTAAGGGTGAGTGTGGAAAAACTGAGCACTGACTAGGATTAAAAACAAGACATAAGTCGAGTAGAGAAGGTAAATGATTCGGGTTGTCTGGAAAGCGAGTTGGAAAGTTGACTATTTGAGTTAGGGATTGAGAAAGACAAAAGTTGTGGGCCTTTATGCCTGCAGAGTCACTGACACTAGAGCCAAGCCATTCAGTGTGATGAACATTAAAGTCACTGACAACAACAATACTGGCTGATGGATAAAGAATGAGAGCTTGGTCAATATAATCAGAAATAATATCAAGAAAGGTGCAGTCTTGAGATGAGGGAGAGTGATATAGAATAAAGAGAAAGGTGATAGAGTGAAGTGGTGCTAAACAAAAGCACATAAAAGAGTAGCCTGTGGATTCAAACCTAGTTTCCCGACAAATGGGTGAATTCTTACGAATGTAAATGCCTAGGCTAAGCATGTGACTATTGGAGTCTTTACGAATTAAAGGAAGATAACCATCAACACTAAGATCACAAGGTGAGACAGCTGAACTCAAATTAGTCTCACAAAGAGCAAGTAGGTCTGGTGAACTTTGCAAGAGATAAGACTCAACAGAAGAAAAGTTACTTCGAAGACCACAAATATTGGTGAATGATAGGTTTAGCGAACTTGGTGATGACTGTGGTTTTTTGTGTTTTATAGTTTTTGTTACTTTATTCATTTTTAAATTTGTTAAAGAACTTGACTCAAAACATAGATAGTACTCAGTACACTGTCTTATAGCCCAAGCAATTGCCTCATTTCCACTAATAAACCCTAAGCCGTAACAAAGGGCTCCAATGTGGCCTTGGCAATGCACACCAAAAGTACAAACAGGGACACCATCCATGCGCAACATGGCACTGTTAGTACTCTGATATTTTTCAGCCGTTGATGGAATCAGCCTCTCTGAGAGCTACAACAGAGTTCGGGAAACCTGACTACCAGCCGGCCTCAGAACCATAAAACTGAGTTTTAGAGCTGTACCCTCATTTGGAGATAATAGAATGAGTTGCCTAGTCATAAAAACAGAGACGAAAGCAAAACCAAAAATATTATATTTCGCATATAAAAGAAATATAAACAAAATGTCCACAAAAACTTAGATAGAACATATACTCTCGCACCCATTCTTCATCTATTAGGCTGGCGCAGATATATTTTTAATACATTGTTTCCAGTTTATGATGTTGAAGTCAAGAAGATCTTGCATTCAACATCATAAACTGGAAACAATGTATTAAAAATATATCTGCGCCAGCCTGATAGATGAAGAATGGGTGCGAGGCTGGTCAACAGATAGAATCTGTTTACCCCTTAAGTCTTTGCCTAGGAGGCCTTTTACAAGACAGCAGCCGGATGCATTTAACATCTGTCCAAGATAAGTATTTTTATCGAGACACCATCTCTAGCCTTTACTCAACCAAGAGCCCCAAGGCAGAGGGTTTTATGTCGGAGTTTGCATCATCTAGCCTTTGCCTAAAAAGGCATATCCTACAAGGCAGCAGGACATGAAGCAGATTGTACTGGGTTACATATTACTAGTAGCAGGATAAACCTGACCTGACCATAATTAGCCAGGACACAAAATAGATCCATGAAGGAAAGGTCTATACATCTAGAGTCCCTAAAAGACAAAGATGGTCAGAACATTCCAACTGAAAATAACAAAGATGATTTCCCTTTCTCTGATGTTAGCAAATCAAATATAATGTCATGTGACAGCTTTCTACAGGATTCAGACCATACTTCAGACATGCTCCACCATCATGAAGCAGTCAAGCATGTTTTTCTTAAATAGAACACCACACTGCCATCGAGTGCTCTAGTTGAAAGACTTTTTAGCAACGGATTATTAATTATAACAAAGCGGAGAAACAGACTGAGCAATAATTATTTTGAAAAACCTTTTATTACTGAAGCAAAATGGGAAACTATAAAACCTCAAATTATTACAATTTATAAGTTCCAATGTTTTGCTTCATGCATCTGCATTGCAGATGCCAGTTTCGTGTTAAGCTCAAGCAGTCCATAGACAAACAGACTTTTATTAAATACCTATTCTAATTATATGGCACAGCCATAGATGATTGACTATCATATTAGAACATCATATGTATTATGTATTATAATGCATAATTGTTTTAACTCTTTTCGTGCATCATTCAGCGAATAGTAATGGGAAAGTAACAATTACATGTCGAAAGTAATGGAGAAGTAATTACTACTGCACCAGTAATAATGGAGAAAGTAATCATTACCAAATCCAAAGTAATGCATACAACACTGTTGTTAAAAAATGTCAAACATTTTTTACTCAAAATTTTGAGTAACTTAACAATAATTTTTTATGACCAAAATATTCAAAATTTCACGTAATATATAAAAGTAAGAATTTATAAATAAATTATTAACAATAAATACTACAGATACTTTTATGAATTTATTATATATATGTAGATTGTACCTTCCTATACCTAAACCCGAACATGTTTTCTTTGTCAACTAAAAATGTTGGAATGAACATCTAAATTTACAATAGTGTATGTTCAAAAACTAAAATATTACTTACTCATCAAATGAACTTGTTACTGAAGTAGTTCCAGAGTCCCAAGCTAATTTCATATCTGAGGTTTTCCCATCATTTGAGCGACTCACATATAAGGAAATCTGTATATAAATGAATATCTTCTGTAAAATTGATTATATTATACATTAAATTACAAAATTACTACATTTTGAATCACAAAAATTTGTTTTAAAAATAGAATTAAACTGAGAGTCTTTTTACAACAATCCAAGTTATTTGAATTTAAAGCTGCATATACAAAATTTAAAAAATTTAACAAAAGATAAATAGCAGCTCGCAGACATCTCCTTTTAGAATCACTTTGGCACAAAAAAATATTTTTTTCAATTCTCCTCCCCAAATTTTTTTTAAATAATCATCATTTTATAAAAATAAATTAATAATTTAGATCATGCCGATGGTTAATTTTTAGAACACTTATTCAAGAGTATATGTTCTATCTAAGTTTTTGTGGACATTTTGTTTATATTTCTTTTATATGCGAAATATAATATTTTTGTCCACCAAAATATTGAACTTTAACTCATTATGCAAATAAAGATCAAAAATTATTTTCTTTACCTTTAACTATATTAACGTTAACATGCTATAACATAAAATAATCATGTTTAGCAACAAATTTTTTTTTAGTTTTTAGGGTAAACTTTTGTTAACATTTTAAAGCAAAGACCTAAAATAGATTGCGCACTCAGCTATCAATTAATACATTTTAAAAAGTTGTTCGCTAAGACAAAATTTGAAATATAAAATAAACAAAGTTACACAAAAAATAAACCATGTCTAACAATCTGTAGATTGTGTATACCCATTTTTTTTGTTCATACTTTTTACTTAATAAAAGTAAAATTAGTTTATTGAAATTCAGTTAAATTCATCATTTAGCACGTTTATCTAAAAATCAAAGGACATTTTAATTTTTAAATAATGTCAAAAACACTTTGTTTAGTAAAATTGGTCACCTTTAACTTTCCAAATTCAGATGTGTTAAATGCAGGGGTAATGCATTTTGAGTTGCACTTTGGTGTAGTAAACAAGTGATAAATTACATAAATGGCATTACAGACATAGGCCAAAAATATCAAAATTACAATCCGTGTAAAAGTAAACGTTGCCATTTTTGAAAAAACAAACAAAAACAATTTAATTTCTCAAGTAGCCTTACTTACTATTGAAAGTGCGGTTTGTTTATAACAAACAATCAAGTCAAAAGATTTTACTCATGTGCGTTTAACTCAATGCCGTGTTAACTGATAAATAGTAAACAGACAAATGTAGTTTGAAAGTATTTTTTAGTTTTTAACAATATTTTGTTGATAAAAGCTTTATAAATTATAGTTTTTAGACTTAGATCCGGAGTTTCTAAAGGTTATAAGTTTTATTCAAGAACTTTTCATTTGTTGAAAATTCGCAAATATAGCTTCATTGCGCGTTTTTTTGCAAAAACGTGCTGATAATTTATACTCAATCATTTATTTCACTATTTATACTATAAATTATATTATTATTATTGTTATTATTATTGTTATTATTATTATTATTATTATTATTATTATTATTATTATTGCTATTATTATTATTATTGCTATTATTATTATTATTATTATTATTATTATTATTATTATTATTATTATTATTATTATTATTATTATTACTATTATCATTGTTGTTGTTATGACGATGATGATTAGCCTGTTTAAGATTGTTCTCGTAGCTCTGTTTTGTAAATTTTGTAGCTTTATCATTTTCATTTGTATCAAAAATAATGAAGCACAATATTTAAAATAAGGTGCAATAAATGTATTTGAAATTGCTGTTTTAGTCCATCTAGTCAGATACCTAGCAATTCTTAGATAACCAATTATTTTAGCAAATTTGGCTGCAGTATACCTAATCCGTTCAGAAAAATTCAAAGTGCAGTCTATTTTAGTACCCAGGTATTTTACACATTCACTGGATTTAACTACTTCATTTTCAAGCTTGGCACATATGTTAGGGTATTTTTCAGTGGCACTTGAATATTTTACCTTGAACTTGTAATCAACATACTCATTGATTAACTCGCATTATTTTTCGATCCATTTTTAATAAACCAGATACTAAGTACTTCTAATTCATTTAACTTTATTATCAATTCTTCATAATTCTTACCTTCAATGCAGACTAATGTGCCATCTCCAAAGAGCTTAGTGTTTACATATCTGGTAGCACTGCTAATATCATTAATGTATGTAGCTTATAATCCATTAAAGTACTACCTCTCCCGTTTTGTAGCACTTTAATTTTCAATTAATATTTTTCTATTAATTGTTTCAAATGCTCTCATTAAGTCTAGCATAACTGTAATGATGAACATACCGCTATAAATTGGTGCCCTCTATTTTGAAATGAGTAACTGAACTGCTGTTTTTGTGAATTTTTTGTAAGCCGAAATGATATTTATTAAAAACTTTTTTATATACTGCTAACATATTTGTGGTAATTTGGGTGATATCATTTTCTGTATGGGAATCATAGCGGTTCTTTTCCTAGTTTTAGGTACAATACCTGTTTTTAAAGATAGAATAAATTATTCTAAGCAAGTTTAAATTGTTAATTAGGTATAATTTTTTTTAAATTGGTATATTCATATCTTCATGCATACTTTTTTTTTAAGTTGATATTCAGAAATTTCTTCAAATTTCTTCATTCTACTCACATGATGTCATGTTTTTATGTGAGCAACCGCCAGACTGTTGTTTAATTTTGTTGTAGATTTTTAATATCTAGAATGCTCCGAATGAGAAATTCATTGTATTTATCAGGAGTCCATTTTTATTTAAATCATTAAATGCAATATCTTCCCATGTATTAAATTGAGATAAATAATATCAACTATATAAATGTATTAAAAAATGACATAAATAAAACCGCAAAATGGTCCCAAACATGGGTTCTTTACTTGAATGAATCAGTATGCAAAGTAATGCATCTCGGCAAATCAAACAAACATCATAATTATACAATTCCATCAATAGCAAATGAAATAACTAGTATATGCAGTACAAACGATGAAAAGGATTTAGGTGTTATTTTATCTAGTAAGACGAAATATCATAGTCAAGTTATGTATGCATCAAATAAAGCAAATAAAATACTTGGAATGTTAAGCAGGACTTTAACCTATATGGATAGCAAACTTCTCAAAACATTGTTTACAGCGTTTGTAGGACCCCATTTGGAATTCGCAATACCGGAGTGGAACCCTTACCAAAAAAATGACATAATTCTAATTGAACAAGTACAGCACCAAGCAACTCGTTTGATTCCATCACTCAGAAAATTGAATTAAAAAAAAAGATTAAAAATTATGGGTATTCAATCTCTTGTTGACCGTAGAGTTCGAGGTGATATTGTAAATTGGTGTAACATAAATTTGCTCTCTTATCCAAGAAATTTTAATCTAAGTTGAACGCGAGGTCACAACTTTAAGCTAGTTAGAGAGTTAGTTAAAAACAATGAACAGCGTGTGGTGAACACTTGGAATAAATTGCCTACAAACATAATCAGTGCCACAACTGTAAATAGATTCAAAGCAATTGGATAAATTTTTCGAATCGGAAAACCTTGAAGATGATTAACAATGAAATTGACTTTATTCCCATTTAATTAACTTATTTCAAAATAATTTGTAAATTTTTATGTAGGCCGCCAAAACCAGAATTGGTTACACAAGCTATAGCTTGTTGCGGTACAATAATAATAATAATAAAAATAATTATATTTAGTTTCAGTAAGAGTTTTTAAGGTCTTCCGCTTAGCAACACTGTCATCTTTAAGTATATCAATTTTAGTTTTGAAATTATAGTATAAATACAAAACATGGAACAGTCACAAAAAATTATGAACCAACAAGAACATGGCGATCTACAATGGCTCACAATAATTTATTTAAATATGTGAAATAAGCCAACTAATGTGAGGGTACAGCTAAAAATACAATGAAATTAATATTATATTATTATATGGAATTATTATTAATACAGTTAAAGCAATTTCATATAAAAACATCCTGGACATACAACCTTAAGTATCAGAATTTGCTGATTATTACTTCTCTCAAAGATTTTAATAAATTATGAACATCAATGTTTTACGAAATTTTACAAAAATTATTAATCGTCCGCTCCAGTGTCTTATGAGTAAGTGTCTTAGCGACATTTTTTTTTCCTTTGATTTTTCATAATTCCTGTTTTATAAGTAATAAATTTTAGTAAATTTGATGATGTTTTGTTTTTTTTCCTACTAAAAAAAGACCATTTTCTAATTTTTTGTAACAACTCTAACTAAATTTTTCAGGATGCCATTAAAAACAAAAAATTAAGCTACATTAACATTTTTATACTCAAATTCAACGCAGTAAAATTGTGATCAAGGTTTAAGTTGCAGGTGTTATGCTCATTTTTTAAATGTTTCAAGTTGTTTTATTGGATTCCTTTTTTCAAATTATGTAGTTTTACATATTTTCAGCTTTCTATTGCACACAAAACATAAGCAAGGGCCAAAACCATTTTTTTAAATGGATTTAAATCTTCAAAATCAGTCGGAATTAGGCGATAAATTTTTTGTAATGTTCATTGGGTACATCAAAATTGTTTTTTTTCTTTCTAAAAGCTTAGGAAAAGGTGTATTCTTATGTAAAATCAAATTTTAAAGAGGGTTTCCTAAAAAAAAAAATTTGATTGGAAAAAGTTTTAATACCCAAATATGTAATTTTAAAAATTGAAAAAACTAGTAAAATCTAATTTGTCACATACCCTTCATTGTATTTTACATTTTCTTTTTCATTGCGATAAAATATTAAATGCAAATAATATTTTTAGATTGTCGAAAGTTTTTTTGATACTTTTCAAAATCATTATCTTGCATGGATCCTATCTGCAGTGCAGGTTCTGCATTTTTTAGTGGAAGGAGGATGGGGTCTTACATGATTAAAAAATTTGATCATAACAGTTCATTATACTTTCACTAAAAAACAGTTGGTTTATCCCCCCCCCCCCCCCCAACAATATTTTGGTTGGTTATCTTACCCCAACAATATTTTGATAGAACTACTAAAACACTATTAAAAAACAATAAATAAAGAAAAAATCTATTGAAGTTAAAAATTTAATAAAATTTCTTTCTTTGTTTTAAAAACAGGTAGCAAGTCTCTATGTTAATCTCTAGCTCTAATATACCCATCTCTTGCATCTGGTCCAACTACTGACATTGATGTTAGTGTCACTTGTTTTACAGCACGCTCAGTACTTTGAGTATGAATTTTAATCGAAGGAGTTATTAAAGGTATCAATCTTAGTAATAACAACTTATCTCTGGTGAGCGAACAAGTAAAAACAGGTTCTTGTTTAACACCATTTTCCCATTTAACTAACTCTTGAAGAGTAGTTGCTGCAAAATTAAGTTTAGGTGTTTTTTTTTGTTTTTTTTCTAATTTGCAGATCTCCAACGATATCATTACCCCTTAGTTTCAAAATTCGATCAATTGCAAAGTTGCGGTCTTTTGCATTATTACTAGATAATAAAGAGGTTCATGTTCGCATACCAAACTTCTAACTGGATGTAGGGAGTCACAATTTCTTTTACTCTATCAGGTTGCGTTCTAAGAATTCTCAATTTAGACAGAATGTGATAGGAAGCATCTTCAAGTCTGTCTTTGACCTTTATGTCAAAAAAAAGTTTAAAGTAAAATTGTAAACAAAATACGACAAGTAACTTTAGATTTTATGAATTTTGATCATTTAAGTCGTGTTTCCTTGTCCACATAAAGGCTATTCTCATGCCAGTAGTGAGCCATCTGGCATGACTAAGGTCCACATTGAATTTCTCTAAGATTAGGTGGCAATATACTAATCTTAACTGCTTTACATAGCTTATAACATTGTTTCTGATCTGTTGACATATTTTTAAATATTATTTCTGGAATGTCGACAAAGCTCTCTCGATCCGAAAGAGCTTCAAATTGAGGATTAAACTCCATTTTATTTTGTGACACAAAAATAATTCATTTGAATGAAGCATGCATATGGCCCAGTGGCACTTGTGACCTAACAGCTTTTCAAAATGCATTATAGCACCACCTTTCCATCCTGTGTTAATTGAAGTACTGTCAGCTCAAAGTACTAAACATGATTCAGTAAGATTATTTTGTTACAGCAAAATATAAACACCTTCAGCAATCTTTTTAGCTGGCTTACCTAGATAATTAGGTGCATTAGAGGTAAAATGACCAAGATATCGACCACC